ATTAAAATAATGTTTCTCGACATTTCATATGTCATTTTCAATATTTGAACACCTTTTCATTTGTCTAGAATGACATTTCATTTTAAACATGACATTTTTCTACATTTAAAAATGTCGTTCTCGACATATCTGAATCAATAAAAAACATAGCATTTATTGTAATTTGACATGTATACTTTTTGAAATAAATATGACTGGTAATGTGTCAAAATTTCATTGGCCAATAACAATATTGCAAAAATGTCCATTTTTTGTTTTAGTGTGGAATTATAAATGTTAATAAGGGTATTTTGATCTAAATTCTTCTAAATTAGACATTTTTGCAAATGATTAGGTAAAAATGGACATTATGTGAAATTTCATCTCTCTCTCTCTCTCTCTCTCTCTCTATATATATATATATAGGATTCTAGAATATATATCTATAGCTATCTAATTAATTTATATTAGAGCTGTGCTCATAGATAGGTCCTATAAGCTTTATGCACTAATTTCAAAAAATATACCTATGGCTATCTATTTATTGCAATATTTTTAATCACTAACCTTTGAACGTGTAACTAGAGATTCCTAATTGTCGAGCCTAAACTCACCTTCGCACCTCGTATCATATCATACGATTAGCCTAAAAAAATGATGGTTCAAGTAAGTAATAACGCACATTAGAATAAAATTAGGAAAAAAAAAATGTCCATCTTATTCCACCCTAATATAATCTCCATAATATATCTAATAATTTTACACTTTCTTTCTACAACTTAATTCCATGTACAAAAACAACCTTAATGTACACAAATACTGGTTTGAGCTTGTCACAATTAGATTAAAAATGGTGAGAAAAATCTGAAAAAATAGGCTGCTCAATCTTCTTTAAATTCTTCCTTCTCTGCAATAAATTCACTTAACTTTTAGCTTCAATTTTCTCTCAATCAGTTTCTATGGCAGCATGTTCACTAATATTAAGCTGCCTTCATTTCAACACATTGCTTACATCAGGTTGCTCAGCAATGGCAATTTTGAAGCAGGAAATTAGGGTTCTACAAATTTTAATATCTTCTAGAGAATATTGACCCTTGGTCTATTATATAGACAGTTTTGAATCTAATTTTTCAAAGAACCAAACCTTACAGCGACTCCAAGGCTGGACCATAAATTCCACAGTCTCGCTCGTGCATCAAATAAGTCATGTCCCCAATCCTTTTTCATTGGTCATGAGTACTACACTACAACTAGCAAGAAAGCACGTCAGTTTCAAGAAAATTTCAAGATGAAAAGTGGAAATCTTCAAGGTGTTAAAACATATTTATGAATTTGAGAATAAGGAAGTAAAACTATTATAGAGTACTAGTACTCAAACTAGATATCTTGAACCAGATGAGATATTTGGTGAAAACATAACCAAAATTCTGATGCTATGGTTGAATAGAATTGGCAGTACTACATTAAGTCATGTCATAGAAAGAGAATTGATAGATTGTCTTTGAATGTAAACTAAATTGTGGGGTCGATGGATTTTCGTGTAATGAAAACATTAAGAAAGGGAAGATCATAGTAGGGGATAGATTATCGGAAGAATAAGAGAAAAAAAACACTATTTGAGAGACGTAAAAGCTCAATGTACAAGTTTGCAAGATTAATTGTGGGAAGAAAACTTATGTAGATGCAGAATCTTGGCACAAAGGTGGAAAATTTAACCTTAATTAGTATTATAGAGTGAAAATAGTCATTAACACAATTTGTGAAACAAAATGAAGGTAACGAGAATTTCCTTTCTGCTATCTTCAAGTTCCATTGAATAAATGAATGACCTTTTGGTATCTTGACAATATGTAGCAATAAACGAGAAATTTAATATCATTGAGAGATACTCCACTATCTATACCTATTAAGATGGGAAATGGATTTATAATGAACGGAAAAGAAGAGAAATAATTGGAGTCCATATAAAGAAAATGATTAACTAATTTTTCTTGATTGAACACATCAAAACTTGTTGGATATGCAGTGAATTGAAGCTAACAGTTGCAAAAATTGTCAAAAATGAATCGACGCTGGTGATATCTGAAAAAAAAAATGGGGGAATCAAAAGATTTCCACTCACAGTCGAGCATTTTGAAAACATTGCATTGAGAATTAATGTTCATCAGTATTCTTAATTTGATGTATAGAAGACCTGAGCATATAAATATTCATAGACTAAAATCATTTCAACTGAAGAACATGGTTCATGGCTTGCTCAAAGTAAAAGATCTTCTGACATTAGTGAAGGATGTGCTCGTGGAAAGTATCACAAACAATCTTTTTTGAAAAGAAGGATCTTGAAGAGGAAAGGAAGTGCTTAAATTGGTGCATACAGACATGTGTGATCCTTTGGAGATGCTCCTATGAAAATAATGGGTATTTTCCTATTTATTGATTACTAACACTGCATAAAAAAGGGGGTTTCAGCTATGAATTTTTCCCCAATCAAGTTCACTGAAGATAAATGGTTTGATGCACAACTCAGAGTCAATCTCTGTAAAGATTTAGGATTCCATCTTAAAATATCAATTTTATTAAGAGGGGTAGCCTAATTCCTATATTTTCATCTTTATTCGAGGTGGGATTGATCCCTTAATAATCTCCAAAACCAAATTAACTTCTAGAAGCATAATCAAGGTATGGTAGACAAGACCAAGTCCATGCTATACGAATAACATGCACAAAACTTATTCAGTTGAAGTTTTACATTCGACCATGCATATACTTGATCTACGAAAGCCCAACCAAAGTAGTACGCAATAACAAACCACTTGAAGCTCGGAATGGAAGGAAGACAGCTTGGTGACACTTGAAGTGCCTATCAGAATTTCACATGGATAAATTTGGTGCATAAAAACAAACTTTCTTGACGAATTCATTTTCATGTGTGACAATGAGAACTAAAATTGTACAGAACAAGAACCATGGCATGATCGGCATCACAAACAGTATTTATAGCGTTTCTATATTGTAAATACAAGAAGCTATATAATTTGAATGTGAAAATGGAACCTGTCAAATTATGTGATTTCTCTTCCATTTTATGCATTTAATATGACTTGCTAATGCAAATGAAAACCACGTGAAGGACCCAGGAACTAACCATTGTGCAATTTAGGTTCAAGATTTGTTGAAGAAATTGAATCAGTGTCCACATTAATCAAGAAGAAAGCAAGCAAGCATGTGTAGAAATACCTTCATTCGTTTACTTTATGATTAGTACATTATTAGTAAAAAGAATCAATGTGACCATCCCAGGTCTACTAAGCTAGATCACCTTTTAAATGGAGGAATCACAGGCCTATTGCAAATTTGATGAAACAAGGGCAGTGAAAGAAAGAATTTATTATATATAACCAACAATTGTGGAAAAAAAGGAACAGAAAGTAATAAAGAAGAGATGGAAAGATGCTTGCAGGAATTATTAATGAATGTGAGCAAATTAAGCTAGTTGATGTACCTTTTAAAGTTCTGCAACAATTCTGCTACTGCACCTGCCTCCATTGCCATCGAAGACAACAATAACAACCTACCAAAAGGTAATAAAAACAGAAGGGATAAAAGATGAAGTCGTTCAATTCTCTACACGTACATTATGTTAACCAACACAATATATATAGAGGGAAAATTGGAGAAGAGAGTTAAATATCAGATGATGATCCAAAGTTGAATACAAGAATTTAGAAAAAGTAACTCTCAATAGTAAATATGGCATGGATACATCTTGAGGATCCAGGCCCTACATAAGGAAAGCATAAAATAATGGGCGTGAAGGATCTACATAAATGTATCTATGATCTATCTATGTAGTATTAATTATGACTTTATACACAGACTGAAACTCAATCACTAGTAATTTGGAAATTATTTTTCATCTGAATCTCTGATGAAGGTTTTCTGATTCTGTGGCATTATCTTCGAATGCTACTGACGATGAAGTTGAGCAATATTGATCAAGATTTATGCCTCTTCTGCAGGACCTTACCTCTTTTGAATTAGAGAAGAATTCTTTAGTTCAGATGTCTAAATCCAAAGACATGGAACCCTTGCCTTTGTTGAGCAGGTCCGAGGGCATAGTTTGGGGCCTTGACTGGAAAGAAAATGAATTAGGAAATGAAGAAGAATCAAAAGGGGGAGGCTGAAGTTCCATTGTTGAATGAGTTACAGTTGTGGAAGACAATATATCACATTCATCTGACTCTGAAATGGGACACTCCATGTTCACACCAAACAGCCTGAGTCGCTTTGCTGCAGCCTTGCCTTGGACCACCGGCACCGAGTCAAATACCATTTGCTCAACCCCAACCCCACCTACCCTTTGCATCTGTGCCGTTCTGAGCTGACGTGGAGCTAATGCTCCAGTTCCAGCTTCGGCTCCAGCTCCGGCAGCTGATCTAACATAGACTATTGAGCCTGCCGAACAAGGGTTTCCGGTTATAACATTACTACTGCAAACATAAGGTCCGTTACCATATCCATAAGTATTATTGGGTTGCATCAAGTGTGAATAATCCCTGGTCAATGGTGGCCCTTGTGACTGAAAATATGGAGGATTCCACGGGTGAAGAGTCCTCTGGAAAGAGAATTGATGTGGAACTGAGAGAGGAGGAATAGGAGGAGAAAGCGCAAGCACATCTGGACGGCGCCTCCAATCAATGAATAATCGATCCTTTCCCAACTCGCCGACCCCACGCTGAAAAGAGACCGTGTCACCTGCATCAAGCTTCTTCTCTTTAACAAAGCGGCTCCATCCTTTGGTCATTACATAGCTTTGGCTGCTGTTCCAGTAGGAGTATCTGAATCTCCATGGCTTCCCATTTCTATCCTCGAAATTCAACAGAAGTCCTTTCTCATTCGTGGATGAATCCAAGGGGAAATACCTTTCTGCGTATTGTTTAGGAATGACTAATCGATTGAGCTTGCCCACATCACTTGGTGTCACTACCTTGTCAAACATGTGCTCCCTCTCGATAAAGATGGAGTTAGCAGCCATCCTACTTCCTTCTCCTTCTCCTCCTCGCGGACGAATAACGTGATCACCGGAGTCATTAGTCTCCTCCCCATCTCCATTATTGTTGGGCGAAGAGTCCACCATGAGCTCACCTTCTTGCCGGTGGTAGGTGTAAGGAACAACACCTTTTTGCTCAGAAGAAGAGGGGAAGAAAGAGTAGTGTGATGAAGGATTCACACCTTCTGAGCTCCCTTCTTCTTCTTCTTCGTCTTCATAAAATCCTGGCCTACCAGACATGAAATTCATAATCTCTGTGCTCACCAATTCTAACCTCAATCTGACAGATCTAAGAGCAAAAACTATGATCTTTAATCTTCATGTACTGGTATGGTTGTAGTACACAAGAAAAAATAAGAAAAAACTTGATCTTGAATATGTCAGCAGCTAGAATAGGTAGGGTTAACAAGAAAATATACTTCTTGGTTTCAAAAAATCCAAGAAAGAGGCGCAGCGGCGGAGAGCCCTGAAGAACATCATCAATCAAACACAGTTAAGGGTCGGTGCTTGAGATTCAAAAAGGCATGCCTAATTGAGTTGATGATCTATTTATTCTTTCTATTCGTTGTTGACCATTTATGATGCCTGGAAGCTTCCCATGTTAAGCGATTTTCATTGAAGAAAAATTATTCGTGTGTGAGAGGTGGGCCCCATTAATTATCTGGTTGAATTCATGTGAACTCGTCCTTGTCATCAGCCTGTCTGTACAATATTTATAAGTTGGTTTTACGCTAAGGACCAAAGCAGCCGCAGCCAGCTGTTTTGTATAGCACGAACTTCTAATTCTATTTGTGTTTTTCTTGTGTTTTCTGCAACTAGACTTTGGCATTCCAAGTATTATTCAAAATATTATTTATTTGGATACTTGCCATTATTTGTCCAACTTTATTGCCTTCTTCATTAACTATTTCACGTTTATATATCTTAATAATTTTGCTACAAACAAGTAGGTCACTTGCTTTACATTATTGTTTCACCTTAGTCCGTACATGACCTACTCTACTATATTGTTTAACAAAATGTAAAATTTAATACTTCCTCGAATAAAATAGTACTTCATCATCAATAAGAATCAACCCGCTACAAGTGACAAATCTTCTTAATCCTCCATAACTAATTTTGGATTTGTAACTCCTTAATTTAAGTCTTGCTTATTTCGTTGATACATAGTTGGATCGATAAGTCGAACTCTTTGTCTATATTTAGGTTGAAGGATGTTTAGTGGCACTATAGGTACTATCAATGTCATCGAGACGCCACTCATTGATCTTCGAGGTTCGTGATGTAAAAATGAATTGCATTTCGAAAGGATTTAATTGAACTTATCCAACATCCCAAGGGCTTTACATTGACAAGTCCAAACGTTTAATCTTTGGGTTGTGGGTGAAGGAAAAAATTTCAAGATAAAGGTTTTAGTGTTAATTGATCGAGACCAAATCAGATCATTCGGACTAGAATCAACTAAACATGCATCATATTTTTTGACAATTACATTGGTAGACTATTAAACAACATGAAACTTTTGAGAGTTTTATCGTTATCGTGAAAAAGTAGCAATTAAAACACATAAAAACAAACATCTTAACCTAATGCCAGATTTTGCTTGCAAACCCTATTCACCTCATAAGATAGGAAACCGAATCATCTATAAATTCTACTGTTTTGCTATTTAACACTAACATCAATCTAAGTAGCAGCACTAGTGATGCTATATTACAGTTTCTATTAAATACGAGGAATTATAGTCCGTTTAATAGGACCTATAATATACTAATACATAGACTTGTATTCAACACCACTAGTACTAGATAGCATTATTTTATATTATAGACTTGGTAGCATTTTGCTTATAAATGTTTGTACAATTAACATTAATCATTGAGTGTATTTGTTTCTATCAATGGTTGTTATTTTCCTAGAATTTATTAATCAAGCTCGTGGATCCTACATAAAACCTTATTCAATTAATAAATTGGTGTAAAACCCTTTAAAGGTGGAACTAAAATTTGTGGAATGAATTACAATTTAGAGAAGTACATTGTGACTTGATTTCTATACCCAAAATTAGTACTTTTTTCCAACATTCGGACCGATCAAACCGGCCACATGCCATTGCTGGTCCATAAGGCAAAGTTCGGTTAAATTAGTTGGCTGTGACTATTTTGCCGGGTGGAGGAAACAATTGAAGAAGGGAAAACTTAAAAATGGATAATATGAAAATTTTGCACGGATTGTACGAACAAAGTTTCACATTGGTTAGATATAAGTTAAATTAATAAGAGATTGTGTTACTCCTCTTCAATTGATTAATATTCTGGGAATGAACCCAAATTCCAACAAGTGGTATGAATTTCCTATTGGAATCAAATGAAAGTGGTGGGCCTTAATTGGAATGCAACACTCAAGAAACTTCGCAGCTAGCTTTTTAGGGGCTTATTCGATAGTAATTATAAGAATTGATTTTTTAACCGTCGGAGAGAAAAGTGAGTCACTACTATGAGTGAAGAAGTAAAAAATGACGGTTGAAATAATAAAATAATGCTTAAAAATTCAATTTTTTGGGTGAAAAATTGCTACTAAACGAGGGCTAGACAGTGGTTGTGCACACATAAGGCAATTGGCCTAGTATGTTTGGAATGTGTTTATAAACAATTTAAACTATAAATATATAAAAATAAGTAATGAATAAGTACGTAGTACTTGTGAATCACTCATAATAAATGAATAAAAAAATAATTTAATTCAAACATGAACCAAAACATTAGTAGAAGAATTGTCCTTGATGAAACATTTAATCCTTCATGATTTGAAGATGAAATTCAAATAAGCTATTGCTTGAGAGGGATGAGATGTTATGATACTTTGTTCATATGAGAATTGTTAGGAAGTTGTAAATCGCATCAATTGACATAGTTTAAATGATATACTTATAAGATATTAGATTACCTCACTGAATAACTGAACTTGTTCAAATGCAATCGAATTCCCTAACCATATTTAAGATTGAATAAGATAGGGCAGTGCTTTGTAAACAATCCCCTAGACGTACACTATCAGGCACCCCCCGACGTCCAGGGGATTGTTCAAGTCCCTTTACCCAATAAAATATTAAAGGACAAGAGAGTAATTTGATTGATGAATTTGACAACCTGGAACATGTCATGATTTGTAGGTAATTAGTGGAATAGCCACCCAATTGATAAAGTTACACCTACCCAGTTTGTACACTCTATCCACATGTACTGTGGGAATATCCACTTTAAGCTGGTCTTGACTTTCGCGGTAAATTATCAATTAAGTTAGAATAAATAATTAACTTCTGATTTGATAGAGATTAAAATTAAAATTTTAATTTAAGTGAAAATTAAAAATTAATATTAATTACGTATTTAATGAGATTCACAGTTTTTTCACCACATATTTTATTAACTTTTATCAAAATTTACTAGAAATCTAATTTTAATCTTTTTCAAATAGGGGATTAATTTTAAAACGTGAAAAATAGGAATTCGATGCATTATTTAATTATTACTTGGGAACATGTTTTGTCATGGAGTTGACTTGTCTCTCCACTCAAAATTATTTATAGTTACAATGTGATCTCTAAATTTTTTGGTGCTTGGTAGAGTTTCTTTAAATTTTATTGTTTTCTAAATTTATTTTAATTAAAAATTATTTCTATAAAATAATTTTGTATTTCAAGTCATAACTTTTTACTTATTTTGAACCATACATTTTCCACAAAATTCAATTTTCACAAATTTATTCTAAAAAATATGTATATTAAACATGCTCTTTGTACACAAAGCAAGCTCGGAGGATTAAATGCATTGTGGCTCACTCAACTTTGAACGAAGGTGCATCTATGTAACTCATCTTTAATTTGATGCGATCAGATCACTCAATTTCGATTTGTTTACATGTCCAATTACATATCTTTTGGTGCAATCAAGTCATCCAATTCGATTTGCTTGCAAGTATCGTCTTTAAATGAATTGCCCCAGACTAATGTTATACGATGACTCAGGCATTAAAATCAACGTAGGACTACCATAAATGTCCACATCGTACAATTCTTCAAAGAATCACATAACTAAAAGTAAGTTTTTACACAAATTTTTAATATCGAAGTTAGCAAATTTCGTTAGTTAAACTCCGAGTAATAAACAAAGTGGCAATATCTACAAGTAAGTTGCAAATTGAGTAGTAGATTGAATCAATTTGAAGACGAGTAACCATATCTGCAAGGAAATCAAAGTTGGCTGACCAAGATGCATATCTACTCAAAATTGAATGACCCGTAGTGTATTTAACCCCAAGTTGAGAAGGCATTTCCCTTTATAGTTTATTCAACTAAAACATTAACAATGTGATTAATTAAGATAATAACTGTGTAATCAATGTTAATTAAGATGCATGAAACTTTCGTCATCAACCCAAACAAGATGACGTGTGCATACGAAAATCAATTTCTTGGTTACCTGATTAATCAATATTTTATTTGTGATTCTTTTATTTTATGTCTTATATAAATTGAAGCTATCGAATCCCAAAGGCCATACACTTGACTTGAGCCATGCTATTGTCTCATATATATATTCATTAAAATTGAGAAAAATTTAAAATAATTATAAGTTATTATTTGTTTGAATTTTATAGTAAATTATTTGAAGCTGGTCCATTTTAACTTGTTTAAATTAAGTAAAAAGCATCTGTTCCTATATGGACCACTCTAGTTTGTCTTTGTTGCTAGTATTATTTATGAATATAGAGAAATGGTATCGACACTTTTGCTAATCAAATTATAAATTATTTTACTCATAATTGAAAAGGACAAGCTAATGGCCAAATACAGATTATCTATGGCCCTCGATACTTCACGATTTGTACAATATGCAAGAAAATTGAACCTGGATTTTGACAAATTCACATCATTGCCACCTTTATGTATAATAAACTAAATCATGTCTAAGTGACATGTTACTTAGGAGGGTGCTATTGATTGAACTGCATATGTGATCCAACCATACTTATCGTAGCATTTTTTGACTTCTAATTGCTTTCAAACTAGTTACTTAAAGGAGATTAAGGACTCGTGTAACGTGACTTTTACTTTTACTTCTACTTCTACTTCTTGTAGGAGAATTTCCTGATAAACCTATCTTAAGTTTGGTCTAAAAACTAATTTCTAAAAGAGCTTCATATTTCGAAAATGACCAGCTTTCTCAAAAAACTCCTTTTAATTAAAAGAATCACTTTCATAAAATTAGTCAAACGAGATCAAAAATAACTTATGAGTCTGAAAAACTCTTTTCGACTTCTCAAAAGTCAAGCCGAATGGGTCCTAAGTAAATTTGTATGGAAGCAAGTTCAAGAAATCCATCGGTCAAAAGCGCTCTAGCCACCTTTTAAGTACTCCATTTCAGTCACATATTATGATATACTTTATTTCAGTTATTCAAAAAGATTATCATTATTATTAAGTATTTAAATTTCTCTGATATAAATGCAGAAGTGGCAAAAATTTCAGTCTCTTTGCAGTGCGGTGAATACACATAAAAAGCAAAGGAAACAAAAGGGAAAATTTAGAGATGGATGGTAGTGTCGTGTTGTAGCTATAGCTGTACCCATTTAA